AGGTCTCCCAATGATAGTGCAATGTTGACTATGCTAAGGAAGGATTTGTGAAATAGCATTTATTAAAATGAAGCCCAGTCAACCACTTATCTATCTCTGTTGCAATTTTACAGCTATAAAGCCTTTGGTATTAGACGCCAATTAGTGATTTTATTATAAAGATGTTCAATGTCAAGATAACACTTCTTGTTTCTGGCAGTGACACTGAATGGTGGATAGAAGAAATGACTTCAGGAAAGCTTAGCTGACCATCTGCTTAGGCCTGCTCACTCACTGATGATTAATCCTTTCCCTCGAGGACAATGTCTCCATGTGTTTCTCTTGCTGTCTTTTTAATGTCACAAAAAGAGGTTGATAAACACATTCAAGTCACAATTAAAAAACATTTTAACTGACCAGTTGCCACTGATGATATTATTAGACAGTTTTAGTCAGTGTTGTAACAGTGTGTTTAGTGGTGTTGATGTGAAGTGGAGATGAAGTTTCTTTAACGCGCCTCCTACCTATTTTTATGTTTAAGTGACATTTAAATGTTTACCTTGAAGCTTGCAAACAAGTAGTTTGGAAGGAGCATGGGGAGAGGGTCATTTTTCACCTTACAGAAGCAAAAACTCTGGAAACAGTATTTGCACGACTTCAAGGTGCCTGCTGTGTTCCCTTGCCTGGGGTGGGGGAGGAGGAGGAAGAGGAGGAGCAAACGACACAACAGAAATTTTTAGGTAGATTGCAGTGATTACTTCTAGACCCGTACATGCTTCTGCCAAATGCACAAGTGATTGATTTCCCATTTCCTTACAACAGGTCAGAGCACAGTAGTGGGCTCATGGGCCCCATGAACACGTGGGAGTCACACGTGTGCAGGGACATCCCACTGGTGACATGGAAGCTGTTACAGTAATGAACAGAGCAGTGCTGGCTATTACCTGCCCTCTCTTCTCTCACGGACAACAGTATGAATTTTTCTCTGTGTGGGAGTCAGTTCAATGCTCACTACTTTACAGAACTGTCCTGATGGAAGAGGTGATTAGTGAGGGACTAACCACTGACAAGTGAGAGGACCAGCTTTCATGAGGACTGGAAGTTGGAGAGCTCAACACCTCTGGCCACAAGATTACTTTCTATTTATATGCTCAAACATGGATTTAGGGGGCCAATTTCCAGTGCTCAGGGCCTGACCTTTCCTCTCTTCCCCAGCTTTTTAATACAGAGCATACTTTCATTCCTCCAGTTTATCTGTATGTGCAAACAACAGAATCACGTTTCTTGGCAGTTCCAGAATGGAAGCACTATAATTCCCAATTTCCAATATCTGGGCTGACTTATTTATCACCTACCTGATTTAAAGCAAATTTGGCCAGTGGAAGAGTTGATGATGATCTGCTTGCAACTTATTCCAAATATTGTACTGCACCTATGACAGCAGTGGTTTTCAGACTCCTTATCCACATCATTATATTTATTTTCATGAAGTGTCACAGTGAGAGTATATCAACCCCAGTCAAATCAAATACATTGAGCAGCTGATAAATCCAAAAACAAATAAACTCAAAGGAAGCATAAGGTCTAGTGCTATGAATCTACTTTATTTCCGTGAAAGGCATCATGAGTGGCATCGACTTCACAATTCTAGTGATGAATTTGAGCATCTCCATACAGATCACCTCTCAGAGTTTCCTTTACCTTTTCCAGACCTATATCTACATCATTGCCTCTCATTAGATTAAGAGACTTAAACCGTCCTATGACTTGGTGGCATTTCTACATCTCGGAAAGTTTCCAAACTAACAAACACACAGCCTTTCAGTATCAAAGCCAGTCAGTGTTTTTTAGGAGTCTGACCCAGAGAAGTGTTACTGCCCCTTCTGTGGCTATATGGGGTGGAGCCAGACACTTGGTACAATCACATCCTCCCCTTGTAAGCTGTCGTATCTCCATGGGAATTTTGTTTATTAATTGATGTCACGATATGGCCCTCAATGGTCCTACCTCTCCTCTTATAATGCCTTAGTTTCACATGCACACATAAGGCAGGGCAAACACACTATAATCACCTGGCAAAGTTATTAGATATGTCAATAATACCATCTTCAACATGAAAAGATAAAGAAAAGGCTCTCGTGTTGAAACAGAAACATTTACTACTATTTTAGCTCAAATCTGCCCCCAAATATTCTTAACAGAAAAGGTAATCTTTTCAGTACCACAGACCTTAGAAATTAATGTAAGATGTGACACAATAGGAAGCCAATAAGTTATGAGGGAGGACATAAGAAGAAGAGAAGCAGAAAGTAGTAACTTGTTGAAGGCAGATTTGACTTCTGATTTCACTGACAAGATAAGGAGAAGGATTTTCAAAAGCCCTGGGGTGACTTAGAAAACCAAGTCCCATTGACTTTTAATCAATCAGACATTTTTGAAATTCATGCAGATAACGAGTAAGCAAGTTTACAGTCCAGTCCAACCTGTACTGAAGTTGATGGTAATGTTTGCTTTATGAAATATAGATCCAGTCCATAATTAGATTTCCTGTAGGCATTGCAGAGAAAAAAAAAAAAAAAAAAAGTGGTTTACCAGTTCAGAAGGAGCATTTCATGGCATGAATGCGAAGACACAGTTCTGGAAAGAGAAGACAAGCAGGATGCTATGACTCACATCACTGGTGGATCAATGTAGGTAGCGTGAGATAGCAACATTAGGCATGACAAGAAGGAAAGGCCATACAGCCTGAAGATCATGAGAACAGGTAAGAAATTGGTGTGGCACGGAAGAGATTCAATGAAGGAATGCAACAGAGGAGGAGAGGTGGTTATAGAGGTGTGCCTTTGAGACTTTTTTGGCTGAACTGTTTTGTCCATATGATGGCAGCAGGAATGGATACTGAAACTGTATTTTCTCATTAACCAAAAAATAGGTAATAAAGAAAAGGACAGGATTTAACATTCTGTATCAGTGAGAAAACCTGGTGCCTATAAATGGTTTGTTTGAAAATCATCAGGGTATATATACCAATTTTCAGTGGAATCACATAGATGTTTTATAAGGGGAGAAGAGGAATAACCCTTGTAGAGGCTCTCAAGGGATGGTTGCTGACGTGAAAAACCATTTGCCCTGATCAAACTTTTGGTTTTAATCTGAGATGAAGGATCCAAGCCATTTAAGGGTGTTTCTGTTTACCCCTCAAGCTTCCTGGAGGCAAGAGAGAAGCTTCTGTGATCAATAGTATCAAATGGCATGAAGAAGCATAGAGCAATACATAGGAATATTATTTTTCAAAAGCAGAGATGGTCTACTAGATAACAAGACACTTCCCACATCATAACCTACAATCAGCCACAGACCAATCCAGTGTAGTGGTAGGTGATAAAAAGACTGATTTCTGGTTTATTAGAGTTCTTAGAAAATGGAAATTTTCTAAACAGCAGGTGGTACCTTGAGCAAAATTTTGAGGGTGGATTACTGCAACAGATATAGGCAAGTACCAGCCAGTAATAATTTTTAAAATACCATTTAACACCTTCATCCTGAAAAATTTTCCTGTGCTTATTACAGAACCACCAGTTTTTCAATAGACTTGTGCCAGAGACTTTGTAGAGCTGGATACGAGAGGTAAAATTCATTCATTCCCAACATCTAGTTCATATATTATCCAACTTCAAAAATGCTATTCCAATTTTAATTTTTTATCACCATATGTTCCTTTTACTTAAAAAAAAAAATCCTTTATTCTAAGAATTCTGACAGAAGAGTAAACAAGACTCTTCCTCTTCATAAAAAAAAGCTATCAATTTTTGTCAGATAAATTATAAATTCCAGTTAAAATTTGATGACCAAAACTTCCTGACTTAAAACTTTCAAAGCCAAATTGAATCTCAAGGAGACTGTTCAAAAATTGAGATACCAAGAGGGTCCCAACACTCAAAAGCATAGGCTTTTACTTTAAAACTGTCTGCTAAGTTCATGAGAAGTCCAATTTAAAATCAAATCATAAGTCAGATTGCACTGACAATTGCAAAAGCAGGAATGGATCTGGCCTATACTGTTGCCCTATAAACTCATTATTAATAAGGTATGTTTTAAGAGTTGAATCAAATGCTGTTGTGTTTGCAACTGAATTCTACTGGGGGAAATCCAGGAGAAAGTAAAATGTGTTAGAAAGTTAAGACTTTTAATTTCTCTTTCTGTGTATATTTGGTTTGCGAGATGCTTTGAAATCACAAAAAGATGGCTTTGTAAATAGAATGTGCAATATGATCCTGAAAAAGAGGCAATTCCTTGCCTTCACGAAGCAGAGCTCAGATGGTAAAAGAAATGAGTAAAAAATTAAGAGAATACTGACAGATTTTCATAGAGACATTTCAAAATGTTGACATTCAAAGTAATTTCAAAGATTAAATGGCTTTGAGTAGTCAAGAAACAAATCACATAGATCTGTCATCAGCATAACACTGGAAGCTGAAACCAAAACTATCCTGATGGCTGAAAAACTGAAAGGAAAAGCATACACCACAGAAATAAGTCTGCATCCACCAGCAGCAACTGAAATTACTAATTCTGGTAAGATGTTAATTTTAATAAGTCACATAGCTATGTGTATTATAACTGTAATCAAGGTGTCACTAAAGCTCTACAAGTATCCTGTGGTCATCAGCACCATTCAGAGGGACTGCTCTCTGACTTGCCCGTGACTGTGTCTCTCCCTCTCCTGCAAAGAATTTAAGCACCACAGACTTCTACCCAAGTGTCACAACACAACCCTTCCTTAAAGAAAAAAGAAAAAAAAAAAGTCAGATATATGTTATTTTTCTGGTTTTACTCTGTCACTGTTGGCAGTCTTGATCATCTTTTTGGCCGTCTCTCCTACAAATGTCTGTATTTTTCTCTGTTTATGCCTGGAAGCCCTTACCTCTGCTCCTCCTTGCATTACCGTCCTCTCACAACATCTTCTGAGCACCAGTTTCTATTGCCAATTGTTAACAGGAAACTGCCCCATCGTACCTGGAAATTGAGATGGAAACAGAGAAGTAAAAATAGAAAAGTAGACTCCATCTTGCATGAATCCAGTGAATTCAGAGATGCATGACTGTAAGGAGGGGAAAATAGGTGCTGGGAATCACAGCAGCCACACAGAAGGATAATGGGAAGTGCTAGTGTTAACCCTGAAACACAAAACAAATCACACAGACACTGCCCTGGGCTATTAAATCGGGATTAAGTAATTAGTTCATCAGATCTCCCAAGATCCAGGTGTGTGCATCAAATTTTAGCCATAAGCTGTTTTAACAACACCGAGTGTGCACTTTATGAAAAGCCAGACATATGACCAAGCCCGTATCATCCATTTCATCTGACTCCTGGTACAATGTCTTTTGAAATAGCTGTTTTCATTTCTCTTTACCTTACTGCCACCAATACAAGAGTAAAATAGATGGTGTTTTCAGGGTGGTCACTCCAGCACATTTTTAGAAGTTCAGTTATTGCACTTTCCATGCTTTTCCAGCTCCAAGACTGAGGGACTTTCCCTCATGCATCCAGCTCACTTTTTTGTTTTTCATCCTAATAAAAACACAAGGTATGGAGAGGAGATTTCAGAAAACCTGAGCAACTTAAGGGCTTTGTGTTGAACTGGAAAAACAAGTAATGCACGGGCAGGAGCAATCCACTGTAATAGAGAGAAAACCAAATGCCAAAGCCAGTCCCATCTGTATTCAGTATTTCAAGTTTTTTCTCTCCCTGTATACATTGTTTAGGACATTTAACTTCTAGTAAAGGCTGTTTTGTCAAATGTTCTAGAGGGACTTTATGTTTGTCATCTCTGTATCAAGAACAATGTGCATTATTTCACATTTCTCAGTAATAAATTTAATTTGCCATGTGTCAGCTCAATTACTGAGCTGATCTAAGGCACGATGAATATTTCTTGCCACTCATTTTGTGCTCAGTATGCATCATAATTTAGTATCATCAGCACATACAGCGAGTTACAGTGGGTCTTTCTAGCTAGGTAATTTATTTAAAATCAAACTATGAATCCAGGTATTAATCACACTTAACTCTTGCCTTCTGGGGGACAAAGATCTCTCAGTACAGAAAATTCATTTTCTTTCATGTATTTCTATGCCATGTCCTTCTCAGCCCCTGTTAGGTTCATCTTCACAGCCTGTCATGTAGATCCTTATCAGAGATTTTCTGAAAACCTAGATAAAATATGTCATATGCACTGCAATTATCTACTTTATAACTCCTAAGCTCATTAAAGAGGTCAATTAGTCATTATTGCCTTTTTTAAACCCCCTCTGGCAGCCTCAGGTTAGGCTTTGGCTCCTTAATGCAGGCAGTACTCAAACCGAGCGAATGCTCCCAGGAGCCAAGCGCTGCTGCAGCCAGCGCTGAGTACCAGCACTTTTAGAGGGAAAAAAAAGAGAAAAGGAAGGTAACTGCCCACTGTTCAGCTCACATATTAAATATTGATGAAAAGACTGAGAAAATAGAGCTGGAAATGTAAGGAAATCACATCTGAGAGAAGAAAAAAAAAAATCACGGAGAGAACAGGAGGAAGCAGGGAGTGAATACTGCAGAGCACTTTTGTAAGCAGAAGCTGAAATTAGCAGGGGGGTTATCTATTTGCAAGCAGAACAAATACAATTAGATGGTCCCCCTGCTAATTTTGGCTTCTGGTTGCACAAGTGCACTGCAGGGCACACACCTTCCTTACCATGTCCTCCTGTTCTGTGCTTTCCAGGTGATATCTGTGAAACAGCAAAGGAGGAGCACCTCCATTTTGAGCACTGACTGCAAGCACCTGGCTAGGATGATTCCTAGCAGTTTGTTATGAAAATAAGCACGCACAGATTTTAGATTATTCCATATGAAACCTTCCTCACAGCACTGATCCAGGGTGGTGCACTGCTGGATGAACCAACGCAACCCAGCATCCAAAAAGTCTCATGGTTGCCTTGCTCTTCCTCTGTTGGCCCATCTCAGTTTCTCTGTGGTTCCCAGGCAGGATCACACAAAGTCATGTGAAGATGGAGAAACCCAGCTCAGTGGGGAAGACAGGGAGAGGAGTCTGCCCTGCCCCAGCTGAAACTCCATCTAGGACTCCTCTGCAGAGGGTCTTTTTTTCTCTTGACCATGAACTATTCTCAAGTCATCTCCTTGACGTTTTCTCTGCCATTGTTGTGGAAATTGGAGGAGAGAAATGAAATGGAGTAAGAGAATGAAAGGTGGCTATTCCTGCCTCGATCTCATTATCTCTGCTGAAAAAATGAGCAATCATGGCAGTGAGAAACAAAATCTCTCAGGAGCGCTCACTCCAGGCAGAGAAAGCAGCAACAGAAGGAAAGAGAGCATTAATATGTGCTTTTCAACAACTGCTTTCCAATTTACTACTGGGCTCTAGCTCTCTTTTATTAATTTCTATTTTCTTTTTCTAACACTGTTCCCTTTCTAACAGTTTGTTGATGCTACAGATGATCACATTTCCTTCTATTAGCAAGTTTGCTTTATCTATATTTCAAAGTTGCAGTCTGGGCTGTCCACTATCTTATTACTCTGTGATAAGTAATATCTGCTATAACTGCATATGAATTCATTTTTCTCCATTCCTTTCATATTCCTTCAAAGTTGGCTCATCCAAAATAACAAATTGTCGTCTTGTGGCTGTTGGGCTTATTATTTTTGATCTCTACAGTAATTTAAGGTGTAACCTTATTATAGTTACTCATAGCTCTGGACACTATTTAAAGTCCAGTTTGTTTTTATCTTCTTAGCTATTAAGTGCAACCTACTTGGGCTGTGCATATACTGGACTAAAGGAATACTTCAGTGAACAAATCTCTGTATCATTTCCTAACACCCACGTTTTAAGGGTGCCCAATTAGTGAGGACAACCTCTATGCTGAGGTAGGTAACAAGCTATACTATATGTGATAGCATCTTTTGTGTTTACTAGAATTCAGATTAACAACATAACAGAAAGGGGTTTTTTTATAGAATAAGCCAGTCTTGCACTATGACAAGATTTATTAATATCTTACTATTACTGTGATATACTGAGTTGTTTGTTTTTTTCTATACACACTTCTGCTATTTATGTCCCTGATCCTCCTGTTTCATCCGTGCAAGTGGAACTTTCTATCCATGCCGAATCCTATGAAAGGATCCTCAGAGGTAGGGATATGTCCATTTGCAGCCAAACACACAAACAGTTGAGATAGGCCAAACAACAAATACTCAGATTTTTTGCATTGCTTCCCAAACTAGACATGTTCATTATTAACCTGGTTTCCAAATGGCCTAATATGCAATGGATATACTTACTCGTGCTAAAATTCCTGATGACCTAGAGCTCAGAAAGCTGATGTAGCTGAAATTTATTAGAAATGCAAAGGAGACTATAGCAATGCAAAGAAAAGCTTCATCCTGAAAGAAGAGTGGGTTCTAAGAGATGAATAGTAAACTATAGAAAGCCATTTGCATGGTATCACCAGTAAGAAATGAACACTGAACAAATAGTTACGAAAGTAAGTTATAATTAACATATCGACGATACCGGGAGAGCACTTGCAACTGAGAAGACAGCACAGCAGCAGGGAAGTGAAGTAGTCTGTGAATCTGACCCTTCACAAATAGATGATGTTTTACTCCCTTTCATTCATTTATTTAAAAGTTTCCCTGCTTGTGAAGACATAATATCTTCTGGGTGGATGTGGTACATGTTAACATGCTCCTCTGCTCATGAATATGATCATACAAATCTGTGCTTTGTTGAGAAATAACTACATGTACACTGCTGTCAAAAGGGTTTTCTATGGTGATCACTGAGCCCAGTGAGAAAACAGCATCATTTCAAATTTTGCTAGCACTCCTGAACCCTCAGCCACCTCCCGTAGGAAGGATTAACACTGTTAATGTGAAACAAGCCCACCATGGATAAGAGCACTTGAAGACCTCCACACCAGGACTATGACTCTTTCAAAATCTTTCAGTGTCCAGACCTTTAGACTTTCAGCAGTGCTCAGTGCTGCATCTTTGGAATACCAAACCCACTAAATATTCTGTAGCAAAATCATAAGCCTGAGAATGAAAACCCCATTTTACTAACTAAAAGCCATCTTACGTGCCGTGCAGCCCTTGCCAGGACCATAGGCATTAAAGGAAAGTGCTATGTAGATCAAATGCGGGCTCACCTGCCAGGCAGCATATGTTTTGCTACTGTCAAACCCAACGGCTCTGCGAAGAATTGAGACAGATGCTTATCTCACCTTCTGCACCTTTTGGAGAGATCATATCACAGCATCCACATTGTTGGAATGCTTTATTGTGAAACACAGCACCCTTTTTAACATTAGTTTGCCAGCAATCTGAGATTTGCTGGTAGAGGTTTTCTTCCACACCACCCAGTCTTGGCTATCTTAAGTTTTCCTAAAGTGACATGTTGGAATTCCCTCCACACATACCAACCTGGAGATATGCAAGGTTCAGTCAATTGTAAACTTTCACAACTGATTTACATGTTCCAGGTTTTAATACCCTCTCAATTCTTAAACGGATTAAGGAGGACAGTCTTTAGCTACATTTGACAGAGATTATTCTCGACATGGCCTATTTTTCATGGTAGTCATTTATTGTACTTGGTAATTAGCTATATGGCCTTTTGCATTGATTTTTCTTTCTGAATCTACTTTAGGTTTGCTCCCTAAATGCTGGATATGGTGTTTAGTGACACCACTTTTGTTTATTCTGCAGTCTGGCATATTTGATAATTCATTCATTTCTTCACATGACATAAATTGGCAATGAATAAACTAAGGTTGGAAATAAAATGGTTTTGGCTGTCATAGGATGGATAAAAGCCCTGGAATGGCTGCCCAGTAATAGGAATACTGAGGGCCAAAAACCCAACTGCTTTTTTAGATGAAGCTTAATCGGTTTCTGAAAAGGTTTATAAGACCTAACATAGTGGCTCTGATAACAAGGAAATGGGTCCCAAAATACAGAACGCTTTTTCCAGGGATATGAGAGATGAGTTTGCACACACAAAATGATTCATCATCACAAACCATCACAGCATTTTCTTGCATGTGCACAAAACAAACAAAAAATTAATCACAGCTTGTTACCTGTAAGCTTTCCTTTGTGCCTTGGAAAGGCTAACTTTAACTTTGAACAACTATTTTTTCCATAGGGGAAGAGTGACTTTTAAAAAATTTAGGGGCACATGCAGACAACTCCTGACACAGCATGTACTTGCAGTTTGTAAGGCTACACATGTTAACTGTCAACCAGATCCTGCTTTGATGATATTTTCCACAAAGATCAAGCATCATTGTATGTGGATTTTGTGTACAGAATTGCAGCCATGCTATTTTGATAACCAAGCTATATTTTTTTCAGGTTTTTGTATTTGGAGACAGATTTCAAGATGATGTCAGATGCACAGAATGCCTAAAAACAGGGAAGGAAATGCACATAGAGCAAGTGTTCCAGCTCCAACTTATTATCCAAATCCTAATGATTTAACCTCAGAGAAACAAGAAACAGACGTTAGTGAAGACATGAGAAAAGGCTCAGTAGCAAGCTTTGGCCCATAAACATTCCTTCTGCAACCATAACAGAGCTGCAGCAGGACAGTGCATGGAGCGGTATTTGTGCAATGTCTAAAAATGCAATGCAGCTTGATAGCTGGGGTCATGTTTGAACTCCACCATCTCCCTGTGGCTCACAGATGTGTCAGTGTGGACAGAGTAAGATAGATGATGCTCAAGGCTCCTACTAATCCACCATGCTCATTCTGATCCCATGCTTTCTTCTGCTTCTTCTCTCTCCTGAGTATCTCACATTTCTGAAGCTCCTTCCATCTCAGTTTACATCTCTTCACCTGTGGTCCCTTTTCTTTGGACAGTAGCAGGTGACAGAATTCAGTCTACTCTTTTTAGGTGCATTTTTCACTTTTACAATATCTCTGACATTACTGGAGAGGTCTAGGAACCGCTTGACACAGAAAAATACCCTTCAAAATATAAGTAATTTTACCAGAGGATTCAGGTAACATCCACATCTACAACATCTAGACTACATCTGCAAACCTTAGGCTGAGATCTCCTTTGGGCAGCACAATACAAATGGAATCAGCTCCAGGATGACTGCCAAAATCCCTTGAGGAGCCTCAGCAAGGGACAAGCCCAGCTCTACACACCTTGGTCCCCACTGCCTCACAGAGGAAGCCCTGTAACTGTAAAGCCACCTAAAAGAGAACAGAAAAACATTTCCTGCCCTTCTGTGTATCTGTAACAACAGATACCGTGACTGTGACAGTTTGGAACAGATCTATGGTACTTATTGTATATCACTGTGAAGGTGAAAGGCAAACACAAGCAAAAAGACAAAAGGAAGCACAAGAATCCAGAGCATACGCATTTAAACAAATCAATATGCTCCTCTCCATCAGAGCAGACTCACGGCTCCATTTTACATATTCCATGCTCCAGCCATTCACCCAAGACATTGCCAGCAATGACATTTCTATTGCTGCTGCAGTGGCAGAGAGTACAATTTTTCAGAAGGTGTTGGGGCGATGGGGTAGGGCTGAATTTGTCTGCCACTTAGTGAAACAGGTAAAGAGCCAGGAGGGACAGTCAGGTGAATAACTACATGTAACAGTAAGACAAATAGTTTCTGCATCAAATAGGGTCTGTAAAGCTGCCTTTGCCTCATGCAGTAGTAGCTTTAGAAGTAGTATGTATAGCCCTTTATACTCCCCAACTTGGTTCAACATGCTAACCCAGTGCAGACTTGCTCTTTTACAGGAGGTCATGGAGTGTGGAAGAAGGGTTACCACTCCTTGAGCCTAAGGGAGGTTGGGCTCTTCTCTGCATCAGGTCAAGGCTCTCAGGGCAGATTTGTCAGCACTTCAGGCAACAGAAAAAGAGTTTTACCATAGAGATCTATTCAGGGGCATAGGCTGTGGATGAGTCTCTGTAACATGAGATTTCCTAGCTGCCTCATGGAGTGTTAAGAACAAGCTAGTGTCACTTAGACAAAAATATTACTTACACTTGGGACTATCCCAACCCCAGGGCAGCAAGAGAACCTCTGAGGGTTATATCAGTATCATAAACTGTCTTAAAACTTTTTCAAACCCTACTCTGAATGTCCTCAGCTAGAAGAAAGAAGTGGAGTCAACCACCACCACTTAAAGCAGAAAGTTTAGTATGAATGCAACTGGGACTGTCCCACCCCATTCACCAGAAAGCCAAGGGATAATGGAAATGCTAGTTCACTTTGAAGAGACACTTGAAATATCAGTTGAACAACAAAAAGGTACCTGTCCCCATCTTGAGCCAATCTACAATGCTAGGTCTTACAAGAAAATGAGTGTAATAAAACATCAAGTCAAAGCAGTATTACCTGCAATCTTAGTTTGGTTAATTACAATTATTTTAAATATTTACTGCTGGAAGTGTGAGGAAAATGCAGAAACTGAATTGAAAACTGATGTGAAGATGTGACAATTCCAGTAACATAATGCTGTTGTATGATGGATTACTAATAAAATGCTTTAGATAATCCAATGCACAACAAAAATGCCTCAATGTGTCTTGCCATGTATCAGATAAAACGTGGAGTACTTATTTGGCATCAAAAATAGCTGCTATTCCTTCAGTATCCATCCCACTTGCAATAGCTGTAGAAAGAATAAGACACAGAAGCACAGAGGGAAGAGAAAGACAATGATAAAGGTATGAAAAATGCCTGTTTAATTATGCTCCAGGTTTTATCTCTGTTTCATATCAGCTCCCTCTCTTTCCTCTCCAAGAGAAATAACTGGCATGTGCTGTATTTTGAAAGTAGATTGACACAAAGAAAGAGAATTAGCCATGTCTCCTGGCATTAGTCTCCCTCCACAACAGCCTGTGATTGAGTCAGAGCTATTATTCTCACTTTCAGGTCTAAGCCACTATCAAAAAGGATGCTATTTCTCCAGCATCCTTTCCAGCAGGGATATACACTGTCTGGCAGAGATGATGGAGAGCACTTCAAGTCCTACAAAATATGCTCTGGCTCTTGCTTTTGACATCTTCACGGCTCATTCAATGAAAACCCAAAGTCAAAAGGGGGACAAGGAAATAATACTGCTGTTTCAGTTTTCTTATTATCTACTTTCTTACATACTTCTTCAGTTTACTCTATGACAGCATCTAAAATGTTATCTTCTTCGCGATAACCACACTGCCTCATGAAAACCCTTTCCCACTAAATCTGAACTCATCCCCTTTATGCTGCACATACAAAATTTTCTCAGCTCTCACTGAAATCTCCCAGATTTACTGCACCTGGGATAGAGAGCAGAACCTTTCAGCATTTCCCTGGTGATGTCAGAGTATTGCACTCATATCAGAACCAGCAAATTGAATGCTGATCCTAACAAACTCTCCTGCTCTGCTCTACTTTGAAGCTGAAGAACATCTCAACTTCTCTTTATGTAAGATCTTATTTTGTTCTCTTCAGTAAAGTACCTGAGTGCTTTCCTCAGCCAAATTTCTCAGCTCACCACCTGCTTTCCCTTCAAACACCTGTGGAGATCTGAAGGCAGAATTGTGTCTATTGTTGCAGTTATGAAAATACTGCAGGACTCAAATCACGCTATCCTTATGCTTCGACTCCTTTAATGAAGAAGCTTTCCTGAATCATTTTATTGAACTCTTTTCAGGAACAGTTTTGACTTCTACTCTTAGCACTGCAGATATTCAATGTGACTGGCTGTGGGACTGGCTGGCACATGCACCCAGCTTCAGAAAAGAGACAAGGATGAAACTGCTCCAGGGTCTACCCAGCATTCATGGGAGCTCATTAAGTGCAAGAGATCACATTCCAGTATTTCTATTAGCAAAGAGATATTTCTCACCAACATAAATGGGTGCCAGTGTCCAGAGCACTCATCCTTCATCACCTTAACAGCAAAGATACTGGTGCTCTAGAATGGGGTCCTTTGTAGCAGGTTTTGGATGGGACCATCTCTGTACCTGAGGAGCTGACAGGACTATATCTTTTATTTATTTATTTATTTATTTTTTCCATACCTAAAGCTTATTTTTTTCCTGTCATCTGAAAAACAAAAGTAGAGCTACAGTTTAGGTACATTTTTGTGTCTGGACAAATCTCAAATAGCTGTCACTTAATCCCGTCATCCAACATCACACTTCACTTAAGTGACTTTTCAGAACTAAGCCTGTATGGAACTGACTGTAGTATTTTACCCTCCTTGTGAAATATTCTTTCCTTTTGTGACACCAACTAGTCTTGAAATGCTGTAAAAATGCTGACAGAAGAAATACCAGAGAACAGTTTTAAAAAGCTTGTGAAGGATCGGTAGGTCCAGAGGTGTTTTTTCAGCATCAGAACAGCTAGGGGACATTTAAAACCAAACGGAAAAAATTCTAGAGGACACGGAAGATTTAGTGTATTTGAGGGAGTCACCAACATGAAAGGTAACATATTTTGGTGGAGGCTGGAGGGGACAGGATCTGACGGACAGTATGTCAGCCCTATAGTAGTAACGGGGGGGCAGGCAGCACTACTGGAACATGGGGAAAGCAATGAAATGAGAAAGGTAAATGAAGCGAAGTGTAGCATCAGGCAGAGGCCCCAACATCACAAACACAGTCGCAGTGTACAGTCTCATAGATCCCCTGAGTTTTACATTGAAGAGAAGTGACAAAATCATCAGGAGAGAAATGAGAATGACCAGCAAAACCCTGAGGAGGAACAGTGTGAGAAGGGAGTCAAAAACACTAAAGAGCTGCCTGAGGTTAGTGCTACTGGACTACGATTGATGAAGGGATATATTCAAAACTGCCTCAAAGGTTAAATGTGAAGCTTGGACAAGAGAATGAGAGAAAAGAAAATCTTCAGGAGTCCAAGATGTAAGCAGTACACATGGCACATACGCTCAGCTAGCACAATTCCACTGTGAAACTGAATTCCTGAACAGCAGCTCTTTGCTTTACTGTCCTGAAGTGACTCTCCCAGTTGTGTCTTTGGCATTTGAAACCTGCTGGCTTCCACTGCTACAGCACCTGCACCACACCGAAGGAAGTAGCTTCAAAATAAAGCCGTGGAAGGTTCATTAAAATCATACTAGCTTTCTAGGATTTCATTTTTCAAGCACCAGTCCACATATAGGCTTACAATATAAATGCATATATGCACACAGAAGCACACATACACATATAGACTAGGTTGTATATTCTATTGCTCATTAGAGCTCTTAAAATACTATTTAGCTGTGTTTTAAAGTTTTTCTTAGGAATCCAGATACAAATAAATGCAATGTGTCCCACAATCTCACTTTGGAGACCAAAGCAGTATTTCTCTGTCTCCCAAACAAGTCACAGTAGAGTCACATTTATTAAAAACTCCTCTCGTTTAGGCTTTTCCTAAGTCTTTGCTGTGTTCTGGAAGAAGCCACTCACCTTCCAAAGCAAGAGGTCCCACCAGGCTCTTTCCCGGATCCACACTCCAGACTTCTCCTTTGCATTCGTCCAGCTGCATCAGCAAGAGTCTTGTCCACATATGTATTACAGTATGCAGCACCTGAATGGTGGAATTTGTGGCCAATTAGTTTAATTTTGCACCCTCTAAAATTATGGGGATTATTCTGCTCTTTATTCAAATCATAAAGCCATTTTTCACTTAGCTTCGTTACATCTTTAATTACGACCTTATGTTGAAGTGGTATAATTTTACTTTAAGAGATATGCCAGAACTCAAGTACTGACATCTCCAGGTTTCATAGAAATTGCAGGGATCATAGGAATTTAACTTGATAATTACCTCAATATTTCAAGTCAGACAATCACCATATAAAATAATTATGGGTTGTTGTTTTTCCAAATTCACTTTGTGGGTTACGGTAGGTTAGCGCAGGTTATAATATATGATGTTAGATATAGAAATAGAGATAAAAAGGTACAATATACCTAAACGCAAGATTATTGAACCAGGTGTGTAAGGAATGCCAAAAGACAAAGCGAAGCACCTCTTTTAAATGCACAAAATAGCAAATATCACATTTCCAACTGAGGAATATTCAGATCAAGGATTCTTTTCCACCACCTCTTTAGCCACTGAAATTTCTTACCCCATGGGACTTGCAAAGGTGCAGACTGGCACAAGTGAGCAAAACTGTTCACTTCTTGTATGAAACCTTCCACAACTGGCCCCTCTGTCACCCATATAATCTCTCTTCTTTTACTAACAGAAGCAATCAGATAGTGTTTCATCATGTTCCTTGGCACAATTATGGTGATTTAAGCTATAAGCTACTAGCTAAGGTTTTGTTTAGTTTAAAAAAAACCAATTAACAAAGATCAAAAGGGTAATATTTTAGTATACCATCATTTGATTAAATTTTGTGGGGTTTTTTCCCCTTCAAGATACCAGTGTTTTTGTTATCTCTTGCATGTAAAGATGGAGAAAAAAATTACTTGGCATGATTTTCATCATGTTGATTCTTCTGGGTTCTCAAATATTATGATCCATGGAAAGTCTGGATTCATGCTTACTTCTACTCTTCATTAAGTCAGTTGTAGTTGAATTGCTGGTAGGGCAGGCTGCTGATACAGTAGGTGGGCATGCTGAATAAAATACATACCACAGCTGTACCTGCACTTGTCAGAGAGCCAACCTGCTTTACGCCAGTCTGTTCTCCACTGCTTCCTGGTCATAGCCCATCTGTTTCTGAATTCATAAAATGCTGAAGAACACAAATATCTGAACCTATTATAGGTAACATGCTTCAATTAAATTCTGATTGTGGAGCTGTGCTTAACAGACTAACATTGGTAATGTATCTCTTCCAAATTTGTCAGTAAAATAGACACCCATCCATAGATATTTCTGTGGAATTCAGAGGCTTTTCTGTGTAGTGGCTTCTACATATGGTGTACCTGGCCAATATTCTTGCAGTTGCAAACAAAATCAAAACCAAAAATAACTGCCAAACCAGAGTATGGAAGGTTACTAAGACAGATTAGATAAAAACCTACATATAGGGAGAGGTTCCACAGTAGGAGCACTTACAGGTGAAGTAAGCCAGACAGCTATTAACCTGAAGTTTACCAATAGCTTAGTGCTTTACTTTTTCATTGGATTCAGTGACAACGATAGTGCACACAAAAATTATGAAACTAATGAAAATTTACTTTGCACATATAATTTTTGCACTGGAGGTGAAACACTCAACATTACAAGGTCAGTTTCATAAAAACTAAGAATTAGAGGAACTCAGCAGGCTGACAATAATTGATTTAATAGGAACAGACTTTAAACAGAAAAAGTAGGTGAGGGATATATCCCCAGGAAATTTGCTGAGGATACCTACAGTACCTATGATTAAACTATCTGTCCTCTGGATGTCATCATTGCTCTTTTTATATGCAGTTGGTTAAAGGTGTATTTGTGTAGAAGATACCTGCAGTCCTAAGGAAGCTGGATTGGGTGCACCAGTTTTGGTAGCTCAATGCATTTCTAATTGGAACTGAATACACCAGAGTGTGGTCCAGATCATTACTATTTATAATCTACAATGAACAATTTTCTATAATGTAATGCAAAAAAATAGAAAAAAAAAAAAAAAAACCCCTGCACACATTTCATTTGATGTGAATTCACATCTCTGCTTCAAGAAGCACTTTATGCCTCTTCACAAAAAATTTTCATCTTTCCATATGTGCAGCTGAGACAGAGCTGCCAGTCAGCAATAGTGTTTGCAGTATTTGCAAAAATCTTTGCTTTAACATGGAACCAGAATTTAAAATTTCAAAATAAGGTGCTTGGTTTCTCCAGGGAGGGAATACTCCGTTAGTGCTGATGTGACAAAGCAAAAAGGAAAAATTTGAAATACACCTTCCCGTGACAAGGTTGACCCTGAGAGACTTGAGAGAGAAAACAGACCAAAGTGGGGCACTGCAGATATTTACCGTATTTCTACAAGACCTTTTATATGATATTAAAACAAAATAGTCTAAGTAGAAGCAGATTCTAGGTTGAATCATCCTCCCAGCATGAGGCATAATATTGAATTCAAGTCTTCGCAGACCCTTTCAAGTCCAGATGAATCCACAGACAAGGAGGGGCTGCTGTCCTAGCGCAGTTGGGTCTGCTGGCAGGTGGTGCAAACTGAACTGGCCCCAGCTAGCTAGTAAAGGAGACTGTCACCTTTGCACTTCTTTTCCTGAGCTGTGCCAAATATTTCTCAGCTGCTGTCAGCATCCATCCTGAACCACCTGAAAGTGTCGGTTTTAGCAGCATGGGGACCAATCCAGAAGTCTTAGAAAACACAAGTATGATGTCATTCTCCCTTCTGCATGGCCCTTACACACACAGAGAGTTGTCAGAGAGCTACATCGCACCAAAACCCCTACAGCTTTCGCAGAGGAATTATGGAGTTTTCAGAGAGAGATGCTGCCCACGTTGTACAAGCTAATGATTAACATATTCCTTCCCAGAAATAAATGCTCCTCTCACATAACTGTCCAACATGAAATTTTGCAGAGGTGCAGGGAATTCTCCATTCCCAGCTTTATCCAAAGTATTAGTCAGGTAGCATTCAGAAAATCTACAGGTCTACAGAAAGCACCTAGACTGAGCCTTGAAGTAAAAGACTGTTTCAGTGCTGAGCCTTTGAGCTCCTGTCAGCCAAGGTGTTTATGGTCTGTTAGTTTTCTATGTGCTTATGGTTTTGGTAACACTCAGAAGCACTGTTAGCAGGGCTGAACAATTTTTTCATGCCTCAGCCCATTAAGGATCATAAAATTTGGTATTTCTGTAAGCAGCTCACAGGTGGAGCAGAATCTCTTAGGTGAGGTAACAGCAAATCCCTCAAAAAGGGCACTGACCTTTCCCTCGAGGAAGAGGTGGCAGGTTCTCTCATCCTTTTACCCAATAGCTAGTAGGTAGCCCACCAGTTCTGAGGAAAAAAGGCCATTTCCAGGTGTCCTAACTTCTAAACTGAAACACAGCAACAGGTCACAGAACAGAAATAAAAGAGTATTCCCCTCTCCCAGGGATGTGTCTCAGCCATACAAGTAAAAAAATGTGTTGTGCACTTGCTGTGTCTCTTTAGTCCAATTAATCCTTTTAGTTTCATGCCACTGGGGAAGCTTGAAAGAAGTTTCCTTCCCCATACCCCAGCAGGCTCTAACTAGAGGCCAAAGCACTTCTATGGGAGGCACAAGAGGCAGAATACATTGAATACATTCAGACAGTGATGTATTTGGAGCTCCCAAATACTGGCCACTGAACTGCTGTTTTGCAGAAGGAACTAGTACTGCCCTGGCTACATTTTGGAATTATGGATGCTGGGTTTCTTTTTGAAAAAAGATGCCTCTGTCTCTGTCTTCAGGAAAAGATCTCTATCACCAAGCAAACAGTATAAATACTACAGGGCATACCTATTGGCTTAAACACGGCTCCACACTCAGTCTGCTGGGGTTTTGGGCAGTTCCCAGCAAAAGACAAGGAGACCAGAACCCCTCTACCTGCTTGCCACACTAGCAGGACATAGGCCAACACTGATCTGAACATGACAAAGGTGCATTAGCCCAGTACTGACAGGCTCAAGCTTTGAGGAAGGCTTATTGGTTCGGACATAGCAATGTGTTACTATGGCTTTATGGCTTCTGGATCAGAGCTGGAACTGGTTTTGTCTGGGAGACAGACACTCAGCCCCTAGAGAAGCCTTATATGCCAAACAGGGCTGTGCAAATGTCTCACTGGATATCAGAGAGCCAAACCCCTTGGAGGATGTGCACTTTAGCTTCACCATGTAACCTTTTCTGACTACATAATATTTTCAGAGGAGCTGTGCCAATTCATTTAATACAGTTTGTACACCATTTTGTAGTGAAGTATGAAGAACATTATTAAAAGATGGATTTTAGGATGTTCAGTCTATTGTTTTTAAGCGTCTTCTAGAAATGCAAAAAACACAGCTAGAAAAAGAACTTTGATGTGCTGCCCCATTTCAACACTGGAGTTTTGCCTTGCATGTTAATGTGTGTGTTTTCATGCCTCAGCTACACTAACTGTACTCCTTTCCTGTTTCTATTTATTTTGGAAGCAATATATGTTTACTAAATCAGTTGAAAAGTGTTAATGATCAGTTCACAGAATACTAATGTGGATTCAAATTACTTTCACATGAATCAAGACAAATTAAAAAATACTATTTGATCATAAACTGCTTCAAATCCATGTCATAAGAATTCTAGTATCTTGAAATAAAGATTCATTTTTTGCATTTTTTTAGTATCTCATTAGATATTTAAATTGATCAAAAAGGTGTGGGGACAAGAACACATGGCTTATCTCTGGTTCACGTGAAAGAGAAGAATGAAATAAACCCTCTGTGTGTGTATATGTGTGCCAAGGCGGGGGTTTCAAAACCAGTTGCACCATAAACAGTGTCTGTTCCACGTGCCTCAAAAGGAAGAAGACGACATGCAAGTGCAAGTAAAATAGCTGTGACATGGGTACAGCCAGTCCTGACTCGTAGCATATTATTCAGCTCTGAGAAATAGATGTGAAATCTGAAGACTGGTGACCTACATGGACACCGGGTCAAAATGTTTCCAACAGAAATTTTTATTGGTCCCCAGAAAATTCACTGAAATTGCAGCACACTTCACAGATGAACTGATTTCAGTGACACTTCAGCTTGATCCTGTCTTGATCTGAAACAAAGCTGTGTTCCAGAACTGCCTTTCAAGTACGTCTTATATTCTAAAGGTAGGAACTTCCAAACTATCAAATTCCTACAGGTTTTAGTAGAGGAGAGTAACCCAATTTAGTGACCTCCACTGGGGAAAGGCAAAAACTCAGACATTACAGTACGCATGCTGTTTGGGAGCAGTGTGCTGGCTAAGAGCATACACCGTACCCACCGGCCATACCTACATATAGGTGACAAGGAACACACAACCTCTAGCAAAACAGGCTTCAGTAGTTCTGCTGCTCATAGAAAGCTGCGTTTTTTCCCATCTGTTAAAATCTGTCCTTTCCAGGCTCCCAGATGTTGTAAGTTAACCTCTTAGTGCTTTATCATATAGGAATACACGTATGCTACACCAGCAAAACATTTCTTACATGGATGCATCATGATAATACAAATGGTGACTTCGCTGGGTGAGTCAAAGTAGCATCACTGAGCAAATAATACTAGAGGGTATAAGCAGTTTTGTTAGGAAAATTGTCCCCTGTATCAGAGCACTCAGATCCCAGTGGAGGGAAGCTGCACAGGCAGAGCAGCCTGTGGTACAGAGCAGTACTGGACACAATGTCCTCTGCTTTCTCCTTTGTCCCAGTAGAAAGCAAATACCTTACAGTTATAATGCTAACTGTTATATCTGCCTTGTAAGTTGACCCATGCGGAACTAGTGGATGCTAAGAACTTATCTCTTTGCTCACCTTTTCCTTACCCATGAAGGAATAAGCATGGGCACAACATTTCCTTAACCACAGTTGTCCTGAATTGTGGTTTAGGAATATAAGGCAGGATTGTAAGGCTGGGTTTGCCTCCTCTACTACTGTTTTGTAAAGTCCAGGTAGAACACTCCACTGTTCCTTTACTATTTTATTGTATTTTTCATGCAAAAATGCAATATATCATGGATATTTTATGCACGACAATTAAGACTCATCTAGGAAACTATCAGAAGGAATAGACTCTCCAACCTACTCTATTTCATTCAAGACAATTTTATCTAACCAATTTTTAACAAATTTAAAACACTGCCCATATCTACTCTAGCTATGAGGCACTGGTAATCAAGTCAAGCACCATTGACTATGAGAATAGTGAACTGTAGAAAATGACTTCTCAGCACTATGTAGTGTCACAGCACAATTTAAATAACACGTTCATTATTCAAGGTCTCATAATTCCTACATATAGAAATAGATACAGAGAGCTGAAAGAGGCTTTCAAGCTTTCAACAGTTAAATAATTGACCTGTACCAGTAAAAGTGTATTGTGTATTCTTTAAATATCTGATAGGTTGTTGGAAAGTCCTTCCTAAATTAAGTCCAATAATACAAAGTGCTAAATTAGGATGAGAGATGCATATACAGTAGTGAAAGCTATTACCTATTGACACTGCTTTTAAATGAATGAACAGAAGGTTTGAGAGAAACTGTGCTTTCTGGGTAGGAACCTCAGACATTATTATTATGTTGATGTATACGATGGTCTTACAATTGCAATTACAGAAAACTAATATTAAAGTCATGCCCTTTTCTATAATTTTAGTGGATGTCACTATTTATTTCTGTGCAAGGTAGAATTTATTGCAGAGGTTGTTGTCTTGATTTTCATATGCATGTAGAAGATTTCAAAGTGAAATTGTTGCAATGACATTCTATCTGACACTTCTGGTAGGAGCATAGCTGAAGAAGAGTATTCTACAGTTCTTTTATAGTATTCAAACCCAGTCTCATATCATTTCCTGTAACTCAATATTTTCATATTATACTTAGATGAATGTGAATTATGAAATATAAATTATGTGGATGTTTATAGAGATAAAATGTATAGACATAATAACCTGAGCTGTTTATAAGTAATTTTTAAGGAAGTTTACCAATTTAATATTTGCTTGTGTATTTTGTAAAAGGCCAATAAATTTGGCAAGAACTATTTAACAAACACAAGCCAAACGACAAAAAGACAAACAAAAACATAAAAGAAAAATACAAACCAAATTTTATCCATCAATTGTTGCCAAAGCAAAAGAATTTCAGAAGTCTTTCCCACACCTCATATTTGTCCACTTGGGACCTGTTATTCATATCTAATGAATTTAAATTGGGAGTGAGAGATGAACTTAAGCCATGCTGTTAAGGATCTCAGCAGAAAACATTCTTCCTTCTCTGAGAAGAAAGTCTGTGTCTCTAGATGGAGCCAGGACAGACAACTGTATTCCCCTCCTTATTAAGGAACAGACAAGAAACACTGTCCTCTTCTGCCTGACACTGGAGCAAGTCTTTCAGAGGCCAGGTGTTTCTGGGGCATTTATGAGCTTACTATTCACTCACTGCTGACCTCACAAAGCTGCCTTCCAAAGGGAAACACCATTTCCCTCACCTCAGGACACACAGGGAGGTCCATGTGCTCCTCTTTCTGAGTAGTCCTGCCCAGACACCAAGGTACCACTTCCTGAAGCTTTGTAAACCTTTACTTTGCCATTTGCCATCTGCCATCTTCATTGATACTCAAAGCTTTTCCCTTCATTTCTTAGTCCCAGATATGAATATATAGCCTGCCTGCATCACCCTCCATGTTTCAACAAATTCTTACTCCTATTGTCTCACCCAGTCTATACAGACAGCTGTGTCTGATGTGATCATAATCCCTTCTGGATTTCTCCACTGCTCTCTCCTAACTTCTTTCCTGTCTTCTATCATATCACATAGAATTTGCTCTATAATTTCTCTTTGGCCTTGTTTTCTCGCCATGTCCTGTATCAAAACCATCCTCTCTTTCCAAAAACTTCTCAGTGTTACCAAGCAAATGAAGCTTTAATCCAGTCTTTAGGCATTCCTACCATTTATTCATGCAAGCCCCCATATAGAATTTCTTTTCCATGTTTATTACTTCTCCATACACAATCCTTCCTGAATTGCTGTTTGTGACAAAGGGGGAGATATTTCATATTTACCAAAGGATAAGAGCACACAAGAACTGCCACTGGTGATCTGTAAGCCCCTACTCCAGCAGGTCTTGCAGTATCTTGTTTATGTAGCCTTGTTTTACTTCAGCATCTCAAAACAGGCTGGATCTGTCCTGCCAAGCGTATATGCTCTGCAGTACGTCCTGCATCCTCCCCTGGGCACTCCTGCTGCAGGTTAAGCTGCAATGTTGGATGTGGTGCACCATGCTCTGTACACCCTGATTTCCTCTGGCAGAAAAAACCCTGTGTCTGCATGTAGAGAGGATGCTACTA